CGTGGAACCGGAAGGAAGATGAAAGGCAGGAGAGGATGGCTGCTTGCGGTGGTGGTCGTAAGAGGAGCGAAAATGTTATGGAATATGATGTGGTGAGCAAATGAAAGACGTTCGAGGTTGCTGAAAGGGGGTGGGGATCTTACGGATGCTTCTGCAGCAGGAGAGATGTAAATGTGAAAGGACGAAAGAAGGAGATGGAGGGTGTAGTAGAATCAAGAGATGCATCGAGAGACGAGATGGAGGAAGTACGAGGAGCGAGGTGTGTCGGGCTATTGAGCGATGTGGACGATGTTGCGTTTGTTTGCGGTAGACGGCGTGCAGGGACGGAGTGAGGCCGAGTGAGGTGGAGTGTGGCAGACTGTTTTAAGATAGGGTGTGTCCAAGTATGAAAAACTCCAGTCTGCGGAGTGTGGAGGGGTGTGGCGTGGGTTAACGTGGGGTGGGGTGTGGCTCTAGACGCGGTCGCTGGGGCGTGGAGCGGTGAATTGGGCGATGGAAAAGGTGTGGGAGGTGTTTCCGATGCCTGTATTGCAGTACGACTGAATAGAAATTTCATTCACTGGTCGTCGAGCAGAAGATGCGAAATACCGAGAAAGCAGAATTAATTAAGGTAATTCGTAGGAATAAACTGAATTCACAGGAAACTAAAGAGGATGCACTGTATTATTTGCGAAAGTTACATGTTCAGCCTTTCTATTAATTTTGTAACGTGTCTGAGCAGAGAATTTTAGAGTTTAAATTAAAAAAGCAACAAAAACGGTCATTTATGTCATTGCTTGTTTGTTACCTCTCAGAGTTGATTTCATTATTTATTATAGTAAATTGAAAATTATAAATTTATCCTCAATATGTCATCTTAACAATACTTGTTATTCCTGAGCACCTGTATACTGACGCTGAGACAAGTTTAATTCACTTTCTCGAAATATATGCCCAAAGGGAAACAATAATCATTCGCCAGAAAGAAACAAATGATTCAAAAATGCGTTTCATCTTTATCTCCAAGGTAACATCTTTTCCCTGAAGTAATTCATTCGTGAATGCGTTGGGGAGGACACAAAACTTTTCTATACTCTACAAGCAACGAGGAAATATGGGACCAATATGGGACAAACACTTTTTTAAAGAAAATTCCAAACGAAATAAAATACTCAATCGCTGTTAAGAGGAGGAGTAAGGAGATATTTTCCTTATCATTTTGTTGAATTCTGTACGCCAGTGTAGCCATAAGCAATTTTTTGAAGACTCAGAGTCATTAGCAAAAATCAAATTTGGATGATCTTCAACTGAAAAAATACTATGTTTTATGTCCAAACTACTGGAAAATGATTCTACCAACTACTTTGGGATAGTGTAGAATATAACGTGAAGCACTCAGGAATACAATGCACATGGATGACATATCTAATCTCTTTTATCAGAAATTGTGTTTGGAACTGAGTATAAAGGAGCAACCACTAAACAACGAAGAACCTTGCTGTGTGAATGTGACATTTCTTGTTATCTAATCATATAACGTTATTAATAAGATAAACTAATAGAATTCTTATGTTCAAGCTTAGCCTTTGGTATTTGCCCTCTAAAAAGACCGAAGACACAAATGAAAAATGTTTTGGCACATTGTCGAACACAATTCCATGTTATTGTCCACAATCCTTCTAAAGAGGTCATGATTAATGGATTCATATTTCGGTGCACGACAAATGCTATGATCTTTAGTCGCGTTAGTGTAGTGAATGCATTTTACGTAAGGTGACAGTGATTACTTCTCTTATGGCGAGATCCGGCACTTACCTACTCTTGGTTTACGGGAATTTTTTGCTCAGTTATCTCTTTCCAGTGGGGCACCAACCCGATCGGGCCAAGCTTTAGGATCCCGACTGATCTCCCGGAGTGTGGGGTAATCCAGTGTGCGTATAAGGGAAGGATATAGAACAAGGGAAAACAAATTAATTATCGCGCACTGTCTATGAGTTAATTGAATGAATTAATTGCTGCACTTAAACGCGAACTGTCCATGACCCGTTTGTATGATACTGTAGGGTTTTTAGGGCACTACTACTGCGGAAAAGTACCAATCAGAGCAACTAGCCGCTAGCATTTTCCTCCATGCAGCACCTGCATTCGACCAATCTTCGACACAAAATCCGCCAAAATCTAGCCTCAAACCCTAAGCCCTCGCGGCACGAGACACTACAGAGGTACAACAGCAATGAAAACAGCTGCCTGCGAGAGAGGTAATGCAACACGCACAAACAAACAGCCCCTTGAGATCCTCGCATCCAGATGATAAAAGCAGACCCACCAGCACCGATTTCCTCCCCGGAGCGGCGCCGCCGCATTTGTCAAAGCGGCGGAGATAAACCGCAGAGCGACGCACGCGCAAACCCCGCGGCCGCCACGCGCGCCGCACCGACGGACGAGGCGAGCACCACGCGGGCCCCAGGCTGCGTGCGGCCGCGCGAGCGGGCGAGCGGCGGCGTGAGCGGCGGGTGGAACGCGTGAATGGCGCGGACACGCGTGCCTCGGCGTCGCGGGCGGCCCGCCTGGCGTGGCGTGCGGCGACTGCTGGGGATGGGGGGGCCGACCGCGCCACCCCACGAAAGGGCCGGCCGCTTGGTGGAGGGCGGAGGGGGAGCGGCGTATCGGGAAAGAAAACAATGTTCCGAGACTGTTACACCCCCCATCGTGACACGCAGAGATAGGATCGTGGCAGTCGCGGGGGTCGGTGCTTCGAGCGGCGACAGGCAGCTCTGAGGAGGCGATAAGGCATCGCGACATACGCATGAAGCGGCGGTAGTGCTCTCCCGTCACTCGCCGGCGCGCTGCTGGCTGATAGTGGGACAATTCGGAAAGGGGGAGAGGTGGAGAGAAGACGGGCGATATAGAAAAAGGGAGTGGGGCAGAGTGCGACAGTCAGAGACGCAGACAGGCTCAAGCGACGCAGGCGGAAGAGGGAAATATCGGCGTGAGAGGAGAACGTAGAGGGAAGAAGTGAGGGCACAACGATATAAAAGAATAAATGTAAATATACAGATAGAACAGTGATCAAACTACCTGCCAGAGCCAAACAAGGAGAGTCTGGTAAGGTAAGACGAAGAGCGAAGCTGAAGTCTAGAAAGAAAGGATGTCAAAAGAAATGGAAGGGACGAGAAATGTTTAGTAATAACACCGTGTTAACACTACAACTGTGCTGAGTCTTTCAAACAGTTGTGTGAAAAATTATAATCGAAAACCATTTGTTCAAGGGTTCAAGAGTTTTTTCTAATAACTATTAACGGGGTTAATCTTTCGTCATTTGATTTATGTTCGTAATTGTGTGACATGTTGTTAATCTAGAGTACTTTGTACACTGAACGATGTACGCAAACTCAACAAGTAATCTCTGTGAATAGTAATCCATTTATTACACACTCTAACGTAATCAAGGTAAAGTACCTTCAATCTTTGCTTTTAATTAATGTGAGTAAAGGTGTTTCTAGGAGCTGAAAAACGATTCAATATACCAATACCTTTATTCCTACTGAACTGAAGGGCTAAAACTGGTACAGTGAATACTGAAAACTGTTAACAGTATTCAGTACCTAATTTTATTCCAAACTTCAATGTAAAATTTAAAAACAGGCTAAAGTTGGAATGACTATTACTAAATGCTTTTCATGTACTATCAAAATATATGTATAATAATGTAAACATATCGGCCGTGGATCACATCCACGGAAAACGGGTCACACCATCATTTTTATTACACCTGTGTCGTGGGCAGGGAAGACCGCGGGATCCCGAGGAGGGTAAATAGTCTATGGCCAAATGCCGACCGAGGTCCACATCTCCATCAAAACTAGAAACATTTACTTTACCGCGACGCCCGATCGTGTCAGGGAACGGTCCCTGCTGCTCCTTGACGCCCGACTATGGGCAGACCCTTTCATCCTCCAAATGTTATATGTAAAACTTACTCATATGAAACTTACATATTTATTGACAAGAAGTGATCAGTTTCAACCCACTTACATGTCTTAAACTTTTGTAGCATTTATTCAAAAATATCCTTCAATGAAAGGATCATTATCGTAGGAAATCACTGTGTACGTTGTAATTTACCTGAAAATTACGAATGTACGAGTGTCATGAAATATAATCTTCGAATGAAATTATATACAAACATTTTTGATGATATGCTAAATATCAATTATACTGTGTTCAAGCCCAAAATGCAACACAGCACTCTGTAAGAATGATATGCACCTTGCGAACGGCTAGCAGGAAGGAGGTGGTAAGAATAAACGATATGTTTGGGAGAATACGGCATTTTCATTGGTGCATACCAGTCATTTCAACGCTATTGGTGGTAATTTCACGAGTGGAATAGTAGTTGTAATCTCCAAGAAGAACACAGCAGCTTATGTGGCTCAGGGCAAGAAATTGCATGAGTTCTCTGCAGTACCTCTGACTGGTCGTCCTAGGTTTCGAATTTCGTCGATGACAAGTTCCTCTACACTAGCAAGACATGTAGATCGAATTCAGTTGCTATGTGGATGTAAATTCTAGAGGCCGGTTGCTCTTATCGGAAGTTTCCCGTGGTTTCTCCGATCAGCGTCGGCGAATTCTAGAGCAATATCCTGTTAAACGGATCACGGGCCGCACGCAAGTTTTCCTTCCTCTTGTTTGTCCTATCGCCATCACTTACACACACTAATGCACTACAGTATCTCACATGTCTTAAGTCTAAAGATTGTCAGCACTGGGGCAGTGCCCCGCTAGTTGGAGATGTATCCATTTGGAGAGAAAGTAAGCCGACGTTCAGGTCGGTTTCATCCGGATTTCATCATCCATCTGGAAAAGAACACAGCGACCTCCCACGATAATCAAAACATGCCCAACACTTTCGGCACTAATGACCATAGCAGTCGAGGCGACAGAAACACACTAAATCCAGAGGAGCCCCATGCAGAGGAAAGCCAAGCGCACCATTCCGGTAAGGAGAGGAGGGTACTCACGCGAAGGCGCGCTCGCCGACCAGCTGGATGCGGTTGCTCATGAGGCGCAGCGACTCCACCTGTGCCGCGCCCAGCGCCTCGCCCTCCAGCGCCTCCAGCCCCGAGCTCACCACGTCCATGTGCGCCACCTGCGCGCCGCCCGCCAGCTCTGCGCACACGCAAGCCGCGCTCACCCCGCGCCTCTGCCATGCGGCGCTACGCAGCCCCCGAGCGGAGGGCACCCAAGCAGGCGGCTCGAGACAAACAGCGAGCGCTGAGACAGCAAGAGGCCCCGGGACGAACATTCTCGGGCTACCTCGATACGCCTCCTCCGTCAATACATAAACAGGATTTCATGCATTGAAAATAAACTGATGAACAAACACTCTTTCATTATATTTGTTCGCTAGGGTTAAGTTGTTGAGGTTCGGGTTTTCTTCACGAGTATGTTTCCGAAATTGTGCAGTATAAAATTTTTCACGTAACATACAAAAAAGTAACAGACAAAATTAAGTATTATCTGTTCATCAGGTCATTTTCCAATATTTGAAATTGATTTAACACACATAAATATTATCATACTTTCTCCATCCAACAAAATTACCTCAGAGAGACTAATTTCAATTGGAAGTGGATACATTTTGACTTCCCCGTATATGTACGTAATGTAGGGAAAGTTATATAATGCTGGGGTAAAAAGATTTTGAGATTTCGATGGAAATACACGTTTTGGGATCCCCTGATACCGGAAAAGTATTTTTTCAATAGGCTCGTTAGTTCGTCTGTCTGTCTGTCTGGTGTCTGTGAACACTACTAAACCACGCGTAAGATTTTTTTTCCAAATTGGTGAAACCCCTGTCCATCTGGGTCGAGTTGAAGTTTTCAGATTTGGGAAAATCATTTTTTAAAATATAGGGGGACTTTACATGAAACTCACTGGACATTTTAAAAATTTTCTCAAAAACGGCTCCAATTTTTTTTTCTAAATTTCTTGTAAGAATACAATAACATGCACGTATTAATGTGACATAGGTCCGATTTTCACGGTTAACCGTGAATATTCGAAAATTGCAAACTTTCAAAATTTCTCAGGCGTCATCCTACAACTACAAAGTTAAAGATAGATATTTTTCCTTCAAATAAAATGTGTTCTCCATAGTTAGTTCTTTCATTAAGGTCATGTACATTGTTTTGAAACTTTTAGTACTTTTCAAGCAATATTGTGTGTAATATTTGCAATTTTCAAATATTTCAAAAACAAGATTTTCTCAAAAAGACTTTAATTATTTTAAAAATGTTTGATAGGGATAATACTCAATGCATAAACGCTATGTTACTCTATTCTTTTATTTTTTCAAAAATTACACAAAATTTAATTTTTAAGACTTGTCTCACGTTGTTAATATTTACATTAGCGGCAATTTTTTTTAAATTAGTGTATTTATGAGTACATGTGTGTTAAATAATGTTATATAAAATGTCCTGAAAACCCAAGCGTTTTCCACGAAAATGAGCTCAAAATATCGCATTTACAGAAATGCTCAAAAACTATTTTCTCAAAGACGGCTCCAAATTTTTTCTACAAGATTTTCCAACACATATTGCTTATTTAACTGTTTAAGACGCATAGAATTATTTTTGCTGAATTTCTGTATTTGTTTGCTTTATCAAAAATTATACAAATGTATTTTTTTAATATCTCACACGCCTTTAATATGCACATTTCCAGCGATTTGTAAACATTATTGCATTTGTCCTCAAAGTGCTTGAAATGATGAAACATGAAGTTTTTGAAAACTCATGGTTTTCTTTGAAAAGAAGTTCAAAATTAGAAATTACAGTAGCGCTTAAATGCATTTTCTTAAAAAATGTTCAACATTTTTCTCAGAATATTGCTATTTAGGACGAGATTTTATTGCTCTGTAGCTAGACGAGACCAAAGGAAATAGAAAACTAATACGGCAAAGTCTGTGCCATTCTGTAGCACCACTAGTCATTAGTTTTGAAAGAAAATTAATCGGGGCCTAGGGAAATCTTCCCTCTTGCCTTCTCTCCCACATAAGGGCCCCTGCTCTTAGTACATGGACGCTATATAGTAAGTGTTAGGATCTCTTGTTATATGTTTATTACAGCTATTAGACCGTCCTAGAGCAAATAACGGACACATTTGAAATATGTAATCCGAGGCGAAAGCCGTCGAAAGCTCTCACAACTTATCTGCTCTGATTATTCTTAACGTAGGTGGACCATAAAATCCTTAACAGACGCTGGACATTAAGTGTCTTTTCTTTTTCCTGATTATGTTGATATAACACTTCAATATTGTGAAATATTGCCAAACAGGTATTAGCATTATTAGGCACTTATCTGGTGAAATTTTTCTTAACGGAGGGCGGTATGTTAAATCCTTATTACACACCGGCCGTTATGATTGGCTTTTCCTTCCTCTGCCTGCGTTAAGTTGATATAAAAGTACAATATTCCCAAAAATAGTTATTAGCGTAGTTGGAGCAAATAACGGACGCGATTGGAGGTTGTAAAGTGGAGCGATAGCCGAGGATGATATCGAACAAGTTATTTGTGATGTAGGCCTTTTGTCGTTTTTCGTATGCTTACCTTCCAGTAAAAATAAAAAAAACGAAGAATGGTTTCCTGAAAAAGGAGTATTCATACGTTATTTTTAAGTCCAACATTTTTGTTTAGTTTATTCCTGACATACAGTGGACTGCTACAGTCCTTAACGCTCGCCGATCGTCAAGAGTAGCTTTTCGTACGTTAAGTTCCATGCGTTAAATCGATAGTGTTATGTTCAACAAATATTTATCTGCTTCGATGAAAAATTTCGAACGTACTTAATACCCAAACTATTTTATCTAGTACCACAGATCTGCAATGAAAATATTCTAAAACATATTGTAAACACGTGGATTTGAATATATTGTAATTACTGTATTATATTCATATTCATTTATTTTATAAATTACCGCCACAAAATTCCACTCAAGTGTACAATTAAATACATTTTATCGTATATAATCACTTTCAAATATTTAAATTATTGGAAAATATCTACGTAGCTCTCCCGATTTTAGTGCAAAGCTAGTTGCACATTGAATCTTAAACATGGAAAAAAACCACGACGTCATGCTGAAGCCAAAATGCGAACAGAGGCTTCCCAATAAATATTTATTTATTTATTTATTTATAAAGAAATAATACTAGCCTTTTGTACATTGAAAATCGTAAAATCTACCATCATACTACATAATTTGCTTCACAATGATGGACCAATGAATCCGGAAATACATGAACTGCATTTATGAAATTAACAAAATATCGGATATGCAGATAAAACCTATTAATTTCAATTATTTATGTATATACGTATTAAGTGCTCATGTTAATATAAAAGCCGAATTAGTACTGGTAGTTTCGCAGTAGCAATTGAGAAAGTTTCATATACTCGCAATGAGAGCGTATTAAAGGGGAACCGAACCGTAATACACATCAGTTCAACGGGTTGCCTATACAACGTATTTGTAAGGCGTTTCTAAGTGTTTAGCTACAGAAGTTATTCTCGTATTTGAAAACTCAGGATTCTTTTTATACCAAAACATACGTTTTGATAAATACTGGATATTTTAACTCAGTGAATTTACGCAGTATCTGTACACCATATTTTCAAGAAAAACGTGGAGTCTTTTTAAGAAAAAAAAGAAGCGTTTCTAAAAATGGGCAATTTATGAGCTCATTGTAACAGAAAATGTATTCGAGAAACTTCATAGGGAATCATTTGAAGTACTTAAACTCATATATGCAAAAATATATAAAAATGTATATAGCGAAAATATGAATATTAACGACGTGAGACAACTTTAAAACACTTACACATGTAGAATTTGAGTCAACCAAAATAATACATCAAAATGAGGTTGATATCATGTTATTCAGAGAATTTAGAGCTACCCATACAAAATTTTTACAAAACGGAGTCATCTTTAAAAAAATCTTGCTTCTAAAATTGCCTTTATTTCACCCACAGTCTACGCAAAAACTACTCAAATTTTAATAAAATTGAGGATGACATTACATAAACATCTAATTTCAAAGAACAGATTTGATTCCCAAGAAATAACACTTGATTCAATTTTGTAATTGTAATGAGATGCCTAAAAAATTTAAAACTCTTCCAATTAGAGAAAAATTAGAGAATGCCGCAAAAATTCGGACCTGCGCGAATTTTAAAAGAGTTCTTGGCACATTTTTGAGGAAAAAATAACCCAAAAACGAGAGCCCTTTCGAGAAACACAATTCCCAATGTCTTTGAGACTTCATAAAAAGTAACAACAAACATTAAAATAACATTTCATTTAATCAATATCCCCTGTAAGTCAAAAGAACTCAGTGAAGGAAAGAGCAACAACAGCGTCAAGAAGAGATGCATATTTTCCGAGAATCCAGATTATTAACAGAATATTATTAATTTCCCTCCTCCAGGAGAGGCGATCCGCTCCGGAATTCTAATTACCATGGGGTGGGGGAATTTTTTTTTCGCGAAGCACAAACGACCTCTCCCAAAATCAGTGGAGAGGGAAACAGGGCAATCACCTTTTCCAGAGACTGGCAGTCATGGAAAACATGCCGGGGCAAAAAAGGAGAAAGAACCTGAAAAAATACTACGAACGTTTGAGCCAATAAACGCTTGATTCGTTCCGGGAAAAGTAATGAGGCTCATACACCGGCCAATTCCAATGGTTTTTACGATTTATCAATCCATCTTCCTATTTGACATGTAGTTAATAATTAATGAATTACCCGTTTTCATACTTTTATTGTATTTTCACGGTATACTTGATTTTGATGTTGAATGTTCAGTCCCTAAAAAATTGAATTTCATTGAATACGTAAGAGGTTTTCTTAGTTTTGGTTTCGGAAGTAATATTTAATAAGATTAATTTCAAAAATTTGATAATAACGATGAAATAATATCCTTGGGGATGGAAAATGGAAATAAAACTTTAATTTATAACTAGCTTGCTCATATCATTTATCACGCAATTCTTTCCTGAGATTGACCTATCGAATAATAATATTTCAGATATATAAATTAAGTGGTATTGTCTACTATCTCACATCAAAATATTTAAAATTCATAATGACGTGAACGCACTAATATAAACTTTGAAAACACGAGATTCATTATATTTGTCGATTTCAAACAATTTTGTTTCGTAAATAAGTTAATATTATTCAGTGTACGATTAAACCTTTGAACTTTTACTAGAGTCGTCTACCGTAAAATTTCCTGTATTACCCCTCTCCGCCGTTGGACCTAATTACAGGACAAACGTTTGTGAAGATGTTTGTTGTCGCATTTATTTACGTTTCTTCTGCTCGTAAACCAATATTCATTCCTTTGTAGAATTTATTCAGACCCCCCGTATCATCGTTCTGCAGTTCTTTGATGATAGACAAACATAAAAACCACAATCGTAATCATTGTTCGACACGTTCGCAGTTCGACATTAAACGACCGCCCACTGTATTTTGAGGCGTTCATTTAGATTCCCCACTAACCGACCCGGGCACTGCAAAACGCAAACAAAAATATTTCATAAATGTGTTTGTTGTTTCACATAACCGCAGTCCGAAGTGATAGTTCCCCGATTACCTTTAGTTTACTGCACGATGTCTAATTCCTTCAGATTAATTGATTAGTGATTCCGGGCACGTCATCGGGTAAGATCGTTAGTTCGGTAGGTGTAGTGAATGGTTTTTCCTCGCGTTGTGGCTGCAATCTTTTCCCTTTGGATGGGAGATCCGGTGACAACCTACCCATCTCTCGGGCGGGATTTTCACCTACCAGGTACCTCGCATCAGTGGGACACCAAACCAGCCAGGACAAGGTCTAGGCTCCCGACTGGTCTTCCGGTAAGGTAGTGTGGTTCCCTGTGTGACAGTGCATGCAAGTGTAAGTTTGCGTACGTAAGGAATGAGGATAGGGCGAGGAAGAGGAAGGAAAAAGGGCGCGCGGTCCTTGCCCCGTTTTTTAGGCACCAGCATTCACAATGCGTTGCTCGGAGAAAATACGGAAAATTACTGAACAGAGCAGCCGGCCGGTAGAATTCTCCTCTAGACAGAGATTGAATTTGACGTATTGTCGAAAATACTGCCACTGTCGGGATTCGAACTGCACTGCAGGGACATCAGTTGATACCCTGAGCGTCATTGCCGGTCTCTATTTTCAATATTGTACTCTTTCAATTAAAACTTTTTGCAATTTTCGAAACTTAAGAGAAACTTTCGACAATAAAACTAGAACCACTTTTTATAACGACCAATGATATATAGGAGGATAAAAATTTAAAGAAAAAAGTTGGAGCCATTTTTGAGAAAATAATTGTTTAAATTTTTCCTATTTTCACGTAAAATTACGGGTGAAACTACTTTGTTCTCTATCACTCTACATCTTCGAAAAATAGTACATGACCTAATTTCATTATCTGCGTTTAAAGAATATATTTCATTTAAAAAATCTCTATCTTCAATATTGTACTTGTACGAATACGACGAAAAATAATTTTAAATTTTTCAATTTTCGAAAAATCAAGGATTTCAACCAAAATATGACTTACGCCATTCTTTTAAGCGTATTTTACGCTATACACGGGCAAAGTTAAATAATAATATTGAATTATTGAACACAGCATAAAACAAATGTGGGTTCGAGTTAGTTGACGTCATATGAGAAAAACCTACAAAAGTTGTCTTCTTTGGGCGGGAGCCGACGAGTCGAAAGGCGAGGCAGTAGCAAAGGTCGACGTTCTCGATGCCTAGAGGGGGCGCAGCATAGGCGATGGCGATGCAGAGCATAGGCATGGAAACTCCAGACAACGACAAAATTAATCAAAAAATAGAGAACAATTTTTTTGTAAATTTGGAAAATGTTCCAGGAGCTACATGTAAAGCTTCATTTTAAAAATTAAAAAAAACGGGTACATCGTTTATAATTAAATTTTGTTGTTGGATAGTGTGAAGAAGTGATGCTTATGAAAATGGTATAGTCTCGTCGTTAAACTTTGGTTTTTCGTAAATGGAAAACATTCAAATTTTTTTCGGCGTCTTCCTACACTTAAAGTATTAAAGATACAGATTTTTTCCGTTAATAAAATCTATTTCTTAAAGGTAGATTTTAAAATAGGGTCATGTACACTTCTTCGAAAGTTCGAGTATTTTTCGTGAAATGACGGGTGAAAAAGTACGAGCTGTTTTAGCACCGCCATTTCCCATCTTCCTCGTTTTCATTTGCCCGCCCTCGTATGAAAGTCGGGTTGTTGGCGGTGGGTCCGAGGCGTGTGTTCCAGAGCCCCTGCGGCTGATCCGCTGCCCGCTGCCCGGGGCCGCCCGGGGCGCCGGAAGTGAGCCGCGGCGCCGCTGACGCCTGACGGGCAGCCGTCGCACGCCCGGACGCCGCGACGAGCAGTGACGCGGCGCGTCGCGTCGCAAAAATCTGCGCGGGTGTCCGCGTTAATGCGATGGGATTGGCTCCTGCGCGAGAGCGCTCTCCGCACAGAGAAGCATTTTCCCAGTTTACGGCTGCGTTAGCTCGAAACGCACACTCGAAGCCGTTAATATGCGCGCGTGGATAACAATTTATGCTTTTAACGTGGTCAAGCATAATTATTATTATTATTATTATTATTATTATTATTATTATACATTTGATGAAAGAAAAATCCGAAAACGAATTATGTTGATGCAAATAATATGCCGTTCCTAACAATAGGATTAAATGTAGAATATTTGCATTTATTTCTGTTCAGTTGGGTTGACTCTTAACACACGATAAGTGATTTTTCAGCGATTTTTATCAAGAATGAAACGAAACAAAACAAAAAACATGAACATCCCCAAAACACGAGTTCGGCCTGATTATCACATGTTAAACGCTTCAACAAACAGCTTAACATAACAAATTAAGTAATACAATGTTCGCTTTTTAACGTGTGTAAGGCATTTTTATTGTCGCATTAAATTATAAAATAACCATAAGGCGGCTTATGCGCAACGTACTAACTTTCCATGGTGCGATCCCTGGTTCGCGTTACGGTCGCGGTAGAAATAGAGTTGTAGCATTCCTTTAAAATAGTCTCAATTTCTATAGCTGTGTGATTACGAACGCTCCAGCAGGCCGTGTTTGCTAGTCACGTCATTCAGAGCCCCCTCTGAAAATGTAAGAATTCAACTAGGTCCAGACATGGGGGACAGCGTAGACGGCAAAGTCAGTTAATTGACCCAAAATGCCTAACACATACAAAAGCCATAAATCAAACATACGAATGCGTATCTTCCTTCACAAATGCTAAGAATATTCGGAACTTTTGGATCAATTTCCTTTGACTTTGGATAATTGCTATTAATAATCTTATAAAAATATGTCAATCTTTTAGGATGGCTTTTACTTATTTTCATGATCCCAGTGTATTTTTCAAAATTTAATTACACATTATAAACTTAAAACTTTTTATTCTATTATACATGATAACAATCTGAAGAAATAAAATAATTAGAAGCAAGAATTATACTGTCAAATTATAAAATTGTATACAGGCGCTCTAGAAACCAAACCTATCTGTAAAAGCCAGACACAGTCTTAAAATCCCAAATGTAACACATACAACTGCGTCTTCAAACATTTACATATTTACTTGTGCCCCTTCATCCTACCGCAAAATCGCCCCGAATCGCTAAAACAGCAAGCGCATCCTGTCCATAAAGAGACCAAACCATTGCGGAAAGAGAAAAGCAACATAGGCGACCTGCGCTGCAGCCAGCGTTGCAGAGGAAGTTCGCTCTGTCGTCGAGCGGATGGCGAAAGCACAAGGACAGCGCGGAGGCAGCCAGGGGCTGGTCACCACGTTTAATTAAACCACGCCCTTTTCTCTCATCCTGCCCTTCTCTCCTTGCCGCCGCCGTCGCCCCTAGCGGTAGAGACCCCGCTGTCGTGCACGAAATACAAAGTTTGTCGCGTTTAACACGTGTTTACACGCATTCTGAAGGGAAAAAATTAAGCGTGCTTCCACCGTGCGTTGCAGCTGGAAAATGATTTTTCAGGACTTGTCTCGCCGAGAAACGCTAGATGTGAATTTGTTTGGTCACGTTATAAATATTCACACACGTTACGAACTTTTGTACGCAGTGGAGAGAAAATGTTGTAATCACGGAGGTAATTCGTTTTGAGACTTTGAACTGCGCATGCATTGGTTTTTCAAAAATAAGATGATTCTCGGAAAACCCACATAAAAAATGCTGCATTTCTAATTTTAAAAATCAAAACGTAAAGTGTGCATCGCAGTGTTTTAAAACTAGAAGCTACGAGAATGTCAAAATGAAACATTTGATCATTTTAAATGACAGACGTTTTTTCCGTAAACCACGTTTTTTGGCATCAAGGACCCCCAAAAAGTTGATTTTCGTTACACATCGGACTAAATGAATTTATTTGATACGTAGAGGAGTAAGAATTATCCACCTTTTCGGTTTTAGGGTTCCAAAAATGTGTTTTTCTGTAAAACGTTGCTGTTTTTTACTGCAATCCTTCACTAAGTAGGTAAATGCGAAAAAGTAAAAATAATTACTCAATTGGATTTATTATTTCTTTCCCTTTACACAAGTTTTATTAAGAAGTATTTTCACAGTAGTCTTGACATAAAACTGCATAAAATTGTGTATATCCACTTACCATAATTCTGGAACGTGTAATGTTATTAAGAACGAACCGCTATGTTGATGAGTCGCCCTTGCTACTACTTTAAAGGTGCTGTGATTCAAAAATCGATGGAGGCACAAAAATACATAACATGGTTATAATATAGAGCGGAAACGACTTATAGCAATGACAAATTCCTCGAAATCAGGGTACGAATTGGGATGAAAATCGACCTTTTGTAATAATAACTTTTCCACTCACAAAGAATCCTAGCTTCAGAAATTGTATTGGTTACTGTGGACTTGAAATAAAAGCCACGATATTATTATTTTTATTCAAGCCAAGACGGGGGCGCACGCACCTGGCATCTTGGCGAAGGGCACGCCGATGCAGCTGATGTCCTTGACGAGCGCCAGCGAGCGCGGCGTGGTGAGGTGGATGGTGGGGCCCGCGGCGCCGCCCCCGCCGCCGCCCAGCTTGCACGTGCACATGGAGTTGAAGGTGCAGGGCGCCACCTGCTGGGCGTACGCCGCGTAGCCGCCCCCGCTGGCGTCGCCGCCGCCGCCGCCCCCGCCGCCGCCCGCGCTCAGCAGCGCCGCCAGCAGCAGCGCGCGCACCGCCGGCCCCGCCATCTGCAACAAGGCGCTCGGGTCAGCCACGCTCACGTCCACGGCGCCACACAGCGTACGGAGGCGTGGGTGGTTGCTTAGCCCCGTAAGTGTAGTGCGTGTTCTAATGCGGGAGATGGCGTTGATCTCCCCTAGCTAGAGAGCGAGATCCGGGGGCGACCTACATGACAGCTTGAGTTTTCCCCAACCAGCTTTCGCCCAGCAGCGGAACAATGTTCCAGCCGGGACACGCTCTAAGCTCCCGACATGTGAGGTAGTGCATATGAGAGTAAATTTGTGTAAGAGGTAAGAATAACACAAGGAAAAGGAAGGGTAGACCGCGAGCGGTCCATAGCCCATATTTTAAGGTACTACTCGGGATTCGCTTGGTGTTGATCGGAAATATACCGATCAGTGCAGCAGGTCGCTAGAGTTCTCCTCTGCACAGGGGTTCAATTTGACCTCACTATGCAGTTAGTGTCGGGACTCTCATCTTAGGTCCAGAAAAGGTGGCTGACCGAAAGGTCCTAGGGTTCTACTCCCAAAAGTGGCAGGATTTTCGACACTAGCTTGTCAGCGTGTCGACCCAGGAAGAGCAACGAGTCGTGGAGGGAGGCAATACTGAGTCAGCATTGGTCAGGTTTCTTTCTCGAGAGCAGACAAAGAAAAGTAGTAAGGACAACTTCCCTTTAGAGAATTACGAGTAATGTAAATCAACTCACTACCGCTTATCACGAATCTTCTCGCCCGGATCTAAGGAGTAATGTCATTCATAATAACGAGTTCAGCAAAGACCCACAAACGATACAATAAGATCCGATATCTCATATCTGGAATGACAGAAGCCAAACATCAGCGCACATCGTAAGGAAAGGTTTTAGCAGAATTATCTTCTTGCAGTGTATCGAGTCACGTCTTTCTCGAGCAGATTCTCAAAGAAAGGGATTTTAGTGGGCCGCAGTTTCCTGTAGCATTTTACGAGATATAGAGAACATTTGTGGGATCTGACAGCCGTGTCCACTGCTTTTCCTTGGAAGGTAAAGGAACCTTTCTGTCTGTTTTCTGTGACAATTATTTTTGGGTTGCCTTTACGTTTATACGAACCACGAAAACTCCTGTCAGGATGACCTGCACGAGGATTGAACCGGGGCCTTTGAAGCAACTTCGCTCAGTGAAGAAAATATAACGAACGTCAAATAAGTGAAATGTAAATGATGGATGAGAAGCTTAAGGTTTACATATGCGCGCTTGCTTCGAGCGCCATTTCACTGTGCTCACGAGCCTTTAGCTCTAGTTGTAAGAGCCAACAGAAGCTACGGTCGTGGCGATCGCCGCATGTGGTTTCGTATTCCTTACTGTTTGGAAGTGTGCAGTAAACGTGACCCGATGTGAGAGAGTGAAAACCAGCATGTATTAGCGCATGCAAATTTTCAAACAACAGTATTTAGAGGTAAACAACCACATTTCCTAATTATGTCTGAATTTAACTTAGAACATTGGTAACTATATCGCATTGTATAATAAATAAATTTACTGTTTCAGGTAAAATGAAAAGCAGTGTTTTTGTCACAACCAAGTGTATGTTGCCAGCTTCAAAGAGTTGAGTGCTCATAACTTATTTATTAATGTACCAAAAAGGAAAACTGGAAATATAATGTATAAAAAGTGTTAATCAAATGTTTGGTATTTGTATTCATTGGCAACATTCTCAGTATGAGTGGGTTTCTATGAAAAGAAATATATTCACTCAGAGAGAAACTAGAGTTCTATTAATGTAATGTGTTATTTTCTTTCGTTTTCGTAAAAAAGATAGTTTTCATGAAAAGTATTTGTAACATGTAATTTTATATTTTAAAAATATAAGTAACTTGTATATTTTTCAAGTACCATTAAGTTCTTTCTTTCGAAGTGTGCATGGTTAACTAATAAAACGTAGGTTATGAAATGTTTCTTCAAGCAAAGCGTATTTTAAAGAGACAAGTTTTTTGAAGCATATTGAAACTTATATATTGTAATGGTATTCAGTTGCAAAGCACTTGCGTTCATATTTTTAATAATTCAAGGAGTGCGCACAATATGCATTGTGATGTACACTCATAATTTTCATTGTATTCTTAAACACATTGTAATTGAGAACGAGAACTGGATAACAACATTATATTTGTTTTCATTATTTATAACTGAGTGGATATGAAATCATGATTATATGATAACTGAATGGATATCAGCATGATTACATTGATTCACAATGTTAGGAGAAATAATAAGGGTCTTATAAATGATTTTAAACTATTTACAATCATAATGAAGCAAGTTTGTTGACTCTGTGTAATGCAGATCCCAATTCTAAAAATATGCATAGAGAATGTATAGTAGGTCATTTTCATTATTTGGTTGAGAGCCGAAATGTTGCCAACTCTGTGTAGGACGCCGAATCTCAGGGACAGGAATGAATCTGCCGGCTGAGAGTGGTTTAAAAGAGCCACTTCAATGAGTGCAGTTTGAGGTGAGCTCAGTAGCAACCCAAAATTCGAAAAGCATTGTGTATTCAGTTGAAAATGTTTTTGAAATATCTAGTTTACTCGTATAACATCTAACGATCCACATTAGTTTACTTTATATTTACAGGCCTCCTACAAAGTGACCTAGTTTACTCCATATTCTTAGAAAATCATAAAATCTGGAGATAACTGTAAACAGACAGTAACCACTCTATTGGCTCCATTGTATGCGGAGATTTTAATATTAAGTTTCTGGCCGAATCTTGAGAAAATAAGCAGTTTCTCAATTTAGTTAATTACTTCGGTTTAGATATTGCAGTGAATGTACGTATACGCATGGTCGAAAGGCATGGTTTCATTTCACCATGTGTACAAGGGGCACATTTTAATCAAAGAAGGCAATCGATCTAATCGTAATTAACAAACCTACTAAAAACCATGAAATCGCATCGAAATTAGTATGATGTTACTATAATACACAAAATTATTTCAATTACTGTAATCTGAAATACCGACTCAATAAATAATACACGCAAGTGTAATCTGAACAGTAAAAATAAAATAAAATTATTTACAGACTACTCGCGGCAGACGCTGTTTACAATGCTGTTGATACAAATAAAAAATGTAATTAATTTTTTTCTCACTTTCATTATATACTCTTTCCTCTTAAAAAAGAGAATTAAACGTTTCACGGAAAAAATACTTGAATAACACGAGGGAGTAAAACATGTAAAACCACGCGGTTTAAAGGTACCTTCTCAACCATTCAGCGCAGCGCAGGTGCAGCGTGGGTCTGAGCATCGCAGAGAATTTGCTTTGCGCGTACGGAAGAAGCAAAGAAGTCGAGTTTTCTCTAAAACAAAATTTCGTCAGCAAATCTGTTGTATCAAACTTTCTTAAAAGATGACTGTTGCTAATCTTTTAAATATAAAAATGTTGGCCCATTATTACAATTCTTCAATTTCTATTCTTCTGTCAATATGAACATCATTACGACCAGAAGACCAATATTCTCACATTCTACATGCTTAAAAAGATGTTTCCAAGGAGCCTACCGATTATTATTTGGAAGAGATCACGAGCTTCATGTATGCTACCTGGGTAATATACGCGTTCTTATAGTATGCATCGGTTATTTTTCTTCATTCACTGAGAACTTTACGCTTCTATTACTTGAAAGTGCCATCACACACAGAAGCATTGGGGAAAGTATATGACTTGTTCTATACGTTCCCAGCTTCAGAAACCAATCACAATATTTTTGTATTCTATAGTAATCTTTATAAAAAATATGCAAGTTAAATTTTCCTTGATTTTTATAACGTAATTAATATTGTTGGAAAATATATGAGCACTTTCAACTTAAAGACCCCATGTATGTGTTAACAACCTCTATGCCTCTGCCGGATAATTACGAAAACAGTGAAATTAGGGTTTAGAAATGAGTATTTTCATATCCCTAAATTAATAAAATTACTCATAATTAACACAACGCAATAATGATAATAGCATTAGCAATAATAATAGTTTTAAACAAAGTAAACCTGCCGGGAGTTACAAAACGCTGAATTATGCAGAAATGCAGAACGCGCGATACGCGCACGTTTTCTCGAGTCTCGAAATAGCTACTCCCTCCTTAACGAACACTAGTTGGATCCAAAATAAATTATGGCATTCACAGTTGTCGACAAGATCGGATGACCAGAAATGTTCGTTCCCGTGTAACAGAAACTATTTTGCATCGTATAGAGTTCCAGATTTGATGTAATGGTTCTATCATCAAAATAACCAAACCCCTTCTCCTCTCGCATCTAGCCCAGTGAGGGCTCAAGAAAACGTACGTGTCTAAATCAACTGCAAATATAATGGCGCTACCTTAAATATTTTTACGTTTATCTCTTGTCGTTATTGTCCTGCTTTACTCACATTCTAGTCGTACCAGAGGAAAATGTAATAATAATAATAATAATAATAATAATGATAATAATAATAATAATCATTTTTATTATTATTAGTACAAATTTGATATCTGTAGCAGAAACAATCTGTAAAATGCATGGGGAATGGTGTCCTCGATCAGCAAAAATTGAACAGCACACGTGAAGACTGAAACGTCCTTCTCGCTCTTAGCGTGGCGTCAGCTGTTCTTAAGCAGTGTCGCACAGAGTATACGAATGTAGTTATAACATCAGGTAAGACAAAATTGCGGACCATCGTAATAAAATATTTGAATTTTTCAGTCAAAATCAAAAGAGGTTCATTATTTTTGTATTTTTCCCACGTTCCTACGAATGTAAGAAAATCAGACACATCTCACATGGCCAGAGACTGCTTAATGTTAGAAATTAGTAATGTAGGTTATCTTTAAGACAAGTGCTTTTATTCTGAATTCTAGATAACAGATTTCGGAAGAATTAGTTGTTCTTCTTTCAAGTAATGGTTTTATGGACTTAAAGGATTCTTAAAAAAAGGATGTTAGGTTTATTACTATTTTTATGATTTCAGAAACGTTTTGTTTTT